AACAGTAATCACAAGATAATTTTAATCATTTGAAAAACTGACTTCAATTTTAAACTTCCAAGATCTAAAAAAAGAAAAAAAATTTATCTATATAACCAAATGAATTCTAACTCTTGACAAAACTTCTTAAAAGCTATCAAAAACAAATTTAAAACTCTAAATATCTTATTTCTTTCTGTAAACTACAAACAACTCAACAAAAATTGAACCAAATAGTCAAACACAATCAAAAAAATTGCTAACTATAAAATACCAATAACTCTTAAGTTACCCAAAACTTTCTATTTATTTTTATCAAAAGCTACTAAGCTATATCTAGCACTTAAACACATCTGGGATATTTCTCTAAATATTAAAAAAAATTTTTTTACTATAAATACAAAGAATTAAAATAAAATAAAAATTTCCATTGAATTAAATAGGTAGTTATTAAGATATTCTCAAAGTTTAAAAAAAATTTTTGCTAGTTTTGTATTTGCTTAATTTTAAGGTTTGGCTTTGAACAAGGTTTGAAACATAGTGTCCAAAAACCAAAACTGTTCAAATGCCCAATACTGCTATAGTATAAGTTTGTTTTTTATAAAGTTACTATGATTGGCTAAAATTTAGAATTCGCATTTTCACATACAGTAAGACATCTCTAAGTGCACGCTCTATGTAAATTCTCTCTAAATGCATGACATAGCTGGCCCCAACTTATAGGAGCACTAAATATTTTGCTTTATATAAATACACATTCTCTTTAAATGCACGGCTTGCTTTTTTTTACTATGGTCCCAAGAGGGGTGCACTTAGGGAGGTCTTACTGTAATGAATTTTTGATCGTATTAGCTACTCAATTAATCACAATAATTTGAGCAACATCTATCACTAGCTAATCACATTGAGGAAACAGCTTGAAAACACCCAAATTGTAGATTCTCAAGTTATTATAAATCACAGTGGCTAGTTACTACACCAACAACCTGGCACATATTTAATATATTATCTAGCATTTAGATTTATTGGGTTTTGCGTTCCAACTGTTGGCGTTTCATGTTGATCTGGACATACTTAACACCTGTACGGATTTAAAATAATCCGGATCAACATGTGAACTCACGTGCATGAGAATTATAAATGTGGATAAAAATAATAATTATGTGACGTCTATATATATTATTCGATATTCTCCAATTAAATCTTATGCATTTTGCAGGACAAAAAAATAAACTTTGGCTCTATTGAAGATAATATTTGTGATGAAATTTTTCTCACCCTGTTACTCTGTACGTGCGTATGTACGTACGTAAACGAATAGTAAATCACAAATATTATCATTTGCGCCACGATTTTTCCGTTATGTTGATTGGTCGACGAGGTCGAGAAGTTCAAATTTTAATATGGTATGAACTTACGATAAATGGTTGATGCAAATTCCAAACTAGTAGGAAATGCAGCCCCTTTGTAGCCTTTGTAACCCCCTTAAATAGGGTCTTAGGTAACATTGCTAATTTTAACGTAATTATATATCACGTGATAACCCATTAATATACCGACCTATTTAAAATTAGGTTACGTGTGTACGTAAGATGAATGACATATTTGCCAAATTTATTTTTGGAAAGTCCGAATTTTTAGTAAGCCAAATAAATCTGACGATCAATGCAGAAAATGTCTGATGTTGTCCTACAAACAAAGACACTTAGCAAACTATATATTAGTATTTGTTTAAACTGATGAAATTACACCTCACCTCGTCCGTTCCCACATAGAATATAGAGTCAAACTTTAAAATTTTATGCTCTTTTGTTTTCTTGGTGTCTGAATTTCCGCTTTTGTTTAGAAAATTCTAAATAAACGAATATATAATGAATATCGGAACGTTCTTAAACGAGACCTCAGCAATTGAAAAAAATATTGAGACCATTCATGGCAATATTAAAAGGATTCAAAGTTTACAATCTAATATTCTAGTAGCCACATCGACGAACGAGGTAGATGCTATCAGTAATGAACGTAACAGGCTTATGAATGACACCCGACAGATGCTCATTGAAAATAAAGACCGCATTAAGCAGATTGAATATGAAAATGCCAGACTTCCTAGGTCTGATCCTAATTATGATTTAAGAACACAAAGACATGGATTTCTCAGGGAGAAATTATCCAATATTCTTAATGAATATCGTGGAGCTGAAGATGAATATATAAAACAACAAACCGAACGAACAGTTCGGCAATATAAGATAGTTAATCCGAGTGCCACTCAACAAGAAATTGATGATTATATGTCAAGCCCATCAGGACAACCGGTATTTCAACAAGCACTTTTACGTTCTGGTGAAGCCAGAGCCGCGTTGGATCAAGTAAAAAGACGACACAATGACATTAAACGTGTTGAGGAGACCATCGCTGAGCTTGCCGACCTCTTTAAAGAATTATATCTTCAGGTTGAAGCACAGGATAAGACTATCGTTGATATTGAGGATAATGCAACCGCAACCGCAACGAAATTAGAAAAAGCGAATGAAGATTTGGATAGAGCGCACGCAAGTGCAGCAGCGGCTCGAAAAAAGAAATGGATATGTCTTGCAATAACTTTAATAATTCTTGCTATTATTGCAGCTGTTGTCGTATATGAAGTTCTAAATTTAAGAAATAAAAACTAATGAATATATAGTATTTATTACAATTTTCTCTTTGCTAACAAAAAGAAAAAATGGACTATCGATGTTTAACAAATCGTTGCTTGTTCATTTATATTCATTTCTTTAATGTACAGTTTTTGATCTGTGAATTTGAAGATCTGTATATATTATATTGTGGGGATATATGCTTGGTACAAAGCTTAATCTTTAATATATATTATTATACATGTATTTTTTTTTTGTCTCAACAATATATAAGCAATTAAAGTAGTTAAGAAATTAATTCTATAATCGGTACATAAATGCCTAATGCACTGTACATGAGTAATAATAGTTACACATTTAAGCTATAATTGGTACGTATTGTGCGTACATACGCAAGATCGCAGACGTTGTCAATCGTAAACCTATCAGTCACGAATCCGGCCGACATCAAAGCGCATTTAGAAATTTTTATCGTTATTGTAAATTTCTAAAATTAAAAATAGCGATAGGATAAAATAGTTCTTTCAATAAAGCCTACATACTTCTTTGTGATAACTCTTTAGTATCACATTGTCGGCGTTTAGGTCAGTTGATTACACACACGTAAACAAAACAAGGTGACAAAGGAATTGTTACGCGACTTCCTGATCGGACGCACAAAATTCTATCACATTAATCACATCTTGGAACATAAGTCTTTATAGTATATTATTTTATACATTGGGAAAACAAATAAATACAACGCCATGGTTAGAAATCTAATTTTATCGGGTTAGGACTTTAACGCATTTGACTGGGTGCTCGGTGGCGCAGTACATTCGTTCAAATATATATGCACTACATCCCATTTCTTTTTTTTTTTTAATATATTTTTTAAAATTAAAATATTCAATTTTTTATAAGTTTTCTTAATTTTTGATTCCTTAATTAATCGAAGATGTCGGACTATCCCAGTATAAATATAGAAACAACCGACAGGTCACGGTGGAGGCTCGAAGTGGATCACGGAAAGCAAACTTGGCATTATTTGGAAAGTAATGATGAAATAAAAAATTGGCCTCAATCCGCATGTGATCGCTATTGGTTAGGATTATCTAATGATGTGAGTAATTATTTTTCTAAATATTTACTTTCGATCACTTAATCAACATTTAATGGGTATCAATTTTTGTATAGAAAATTAACGGTGGTCATTCAAAACACTCACCACCAAAAACCGCACTTGAAGCCATATATAATGGATATAAATTCTTTAAACAATTGCAAACCGTGGATGGTCATTGGGCGGGAGAATATAGTGGCCCTATATTTTTAATCTCTGGATTTGTGTTTTCGACATACATCACTCGTTTATCAATTCCTCAAGCTTGGAAAATTGAAATTATCACATATTTAGTTAATACTTGTAATCCTGAAGATGGCGGCTGGGGAATGTA